ACAAACTCTGGGTCTGACACCCATCGCTGAATCTTCTCGTGTAAAGAAAAGCGTGCCGTTGCGAGCTGGTTCAGGCTGGTGCTGTGCAGGTAGGGAGGTGCTGACGATGCGGCTGGTAAAGCGGCCGTGTTGATTTCACATGGTTCCTCGACAATCTTGCAGAGCGACGGCGTCTCCGAGGAACAACGACGGCGGCGTGGGACCGAGGATGATGACACTGGTGACACGGGGGTGTTTGTCGCATTCGGTACCATTTCTGCTGGTGGTTCCGCTGCCAGGCGAGCTTCGTCGCTGTGGGGTTGGACCGCAGGTTCCGCCACCATATCTGTGTCGGTGCTGTCTGGGGTGTGCATGGGGATGGTCAAGTTGAGGGCGGCAAGCTGAAGGTCAAAGCTGCCTCGGCTCCGGCTCAGGGCAGGGGGAGCTGGACGGTCAGCGAGGTGCTTGGGCGAGGGCTCCTGCGGCGGCATGGTGGTTGACAGCAGGGCCGTGATGCGCTGTTCTTGCCACCAATCAGACATGAGGTCTTCAATGGGGTTGGTGGGCTCGGCGGTTCGGCAGGTGGCACAGCCTGCAAAGGGTAGGCGCATCAGACTGAACCAAGAGCTGCGGCGACGCTTGGCACCACGCCGGGCAGGCAACTCTGCCTCGTCACTGATAAAGGATGAGGTGCGTGAAGACGTGGCCGGCAGCGGGGCGGGCGACTTGGCCAGGCTGTGGTCCGCTCGGTCCACAAGCTGTTGAACTTTGCGGGTCTGACGATCACGGCGGTGCTGGCTTCGGTGAGCCATCAACCGGCTCAAGCCGCTGCGGCGCGTCGTCGTGGGGGTAGCCTCGCACATGATGGGCGGGGACAGGAGACAGGGGGACAGGGGCGATGCAGAGAACTCACGACGCGATACAAAGATGCAAGCCGATGGAACGAAATGCACCATAGACCCAAACAGGCTTGGTGGTGGGGAGAAAATGGCACTCTGACGGGTGAGGCGGCAGGGCACTGGCCTGTTGCGGTTGGCTTGGTCAGGATACGGCCAATGGCCTGAAGCAGCTGTTACAGTGATAGACGCGTGTGTGGTGCGTGTTCACCTTTTACACTGAAAAGGCAAGTAAAGGCAAGTTGAGGCTCTCGGAGCGTTTGAGGGTGGATCGTAGCAACATCAAGGTGGAAGAAAGAAGGCGGAGCCCAGGCTAGACTGCAAAAGCAGGCTTGGGAAACGGGAAGCATTGTGAGGCCTGTCGCACCTTGCTGTCTGTCAGGCGAGGGCTGGGAACGTCGGGGACTTTGTTTGAGAACGAACGACAAGTTTGGGCTGGGGACGCGTGGGCAGGGCGGAGGGTGTGGCAGCAGGCGGAAAACCAGGCACCCAAGAGGACAAGAATGTGTTGTTGCCAAGCATGCGCAGCGGTTGGATAGGGAGGAGTTTCCTGCCCTGAGACGGTTTGGTGGGAATGGGGACACGGATTGATGAGTGGAATGTGGTCGTTGACCCGGTGAGGACACCACATGTGCTCTACATCGTGGTCGTGGCTGGGCCCAGCCTTGAGGTACTTGTCCACTTTGTGCACCAGAAATGAGTGATGTGTAAAGCTGGCTTGGGGCGCTTCGGCATGATGGAATCGTTTCCCAAGAACATGGCAAAACACATCCTAGGTACGATGCCGTTGCGCATCGTCCAGACACCCAGCTCATCCGTGTAAACTCTCGTCATCGCCGTCGATCCCCAAGCTACGCTTGCACGCATGCATGCTCAGATTTAATCTGACGTTGTTGTATACTTTAGAGGGTACTGTATTGTGCTCTCTTATTTTGAAGACGGAGGGATGGCGACATCGACACGCAAAGTGGCGGCGACGGCAGCGCGGGCGCTGTACCGGCAGTTGTACCGCAAGCTGCGGGCGATTCCACAGGCGGAGCAGCGCAGCTATTATCAGCATTTTCTTCGCGATGTGCGTTACTCTGTGATCTAAACGGCTGGTTGTCTGGCGTATGGCTTGTGTGCCGCGCGACGGTTCTTTCCTTGATGATCTGAACTCATCGCCGAGTGACGCATGGGACGGATAGGAGTTTATGCAGCATCAGGAAGATGTAGAAGTGGAGCGGTTTGAGGAAATGGGGGCACGCGCACACCAGGATCTCGATTGGATCATTGCTCAGGTTTGTGGACGGACCCAAGTGCCGACTGCATTGCAGCCCCGCCTGCCTGTGCTTTGCCTCTGCGCGCTTGGCTCACGGGCCTTGGAACTTGACGCAGGCGCAAGCGCAGGCGCAGACAACAGAGGCAGAGCAAGGAAGCTCGACCAAAGCGCGCTCCCACAAGGATAGCTGGCCCGCGCACTTTCGTTGACGAGCATTTGTGCACCAAAAGAGTCACAACCACCCGCGCGACGAGATTCGCAAGGTGGCCGAGATGGTCGACCTGCCTGTTCCTTTCTTGTTCTTTTCCCGACTTGAAACACTGGTCTTCATCGCCTTGGCGTTTTATCCTTCTGTTGTAAATTATGGGGTTTGCACGACTCCCAATCTGACACCAATTTATCCAAATGCCATCCGGCCGCGCACCGCCCTCGGCTTGGTGGCCAGAAACAGCTTCATCCAGTTACATCAGTTGTCGTGCTTCGGCTTGCGCCGTGTTATCCTGAGGCAACACGTGTGGTCAGCGTAATGGCATGAGAAAAAACGAGAAATAATTAAGCAAGCACATTCCCTTTAAGCACAAGCTCTACGTCGGGCAGGGCGCAACCAAGTCGCTGACCTCGGGCGTCCCGGCAGGCAGTTCGGCGGCTTGACGAAAGTAGCGTTTGGCATCAGCCTTGCGGCCCAACTGCACGCAGCACTGCAGAACCCATGGATAGCACGCGTAGTCAGAGGGCGGGCACGCGAGGCCCAGCATGAGCCAGGAGTAGAGAAGTGTGCGGCCTGATCTCGCTGACCTTGCCCATGAAAAGCAAGTTCATGATCCAGTTGGGCTGATACTTGTCCGCCTAGGATGATGGCCCGACGCACGGAAGTGAGCCAGAGCAATCATGTTGTCTTTCCCCGTTGCGAGTAGAGCTAGAGGATGTAAAAAGGTGAAACACAACGGGGGAAAACCGGATCGCACCTGTTCAAAGTGGCTCAGGGTCTCCTCATAGGTTGCCTCTGGGGGAGTGCCGATAAATGTTTTGCAGGCTTGCTTTTCAAACCAGGTCAACTTGGCCACCTGTACCACCACAGACATTTTCGTTGGTATGGTCATGCCATGAGACGCGAGAAATGCAGCGGGCGGCAGCCGCTGAAGCGGGGCGCTGATGCCATCATCCCATACCTCAAAGCAAAAACGGCCCAAGAGATGGTGGGCGAGCGCGTCAGAGGGATCCAGCTCCAGACTGCGCTCCACATGCTTTCGAAAGAGCATACCGCACTCAAGCTTCTCTTGAAGCGATACAAAATCGGACAGGGCACCTTGGACAATCGCATACCTGCGCACTCCCGCAGACATGGCTTTAGGTACGCGAGCGCGCGAACGGGGGACAGACCAGAAAGAGCGCACTCACCATTTATGAGCACGTGCATTGTTGGGGTCCTTGGCGATGGCGTCTTTGCCGCGAGGAATGGCGGCATTCAGTTGCTCCTACACAAGCCAGCCCAAAGCGGAGCATGAGCAACGAGTCGTGTGCACTTTGTTGCGCAGCACTTTGAGGTGTTGTCAGACCTGTTTGATGTCCTTGTGAATTTCCCCCTTGTCATAGTAGGCTCGGCAGAGACGCCAAAGGCCTACGAGGAAGAGAGCGCAGAGGTAATGATATTTAGCTTGACGTGTACCGGAGGACGAGTCCAGAAGCAAGGTTAAGCCGCCTTGACACGGGCAAACCTTCAGCATCGGCCAAAAACTGTTGCTGATGTTGAAGGACGTAGTCGGCGGCCTCTTCAACCTTGTGACCATCCCGTAACTCGTCTGCCGTCTGTTGAAAACACCAGGTGGCGCTGACGTCAGAGGTGGAGTGGGAGGTACGATTGCACTGGTTTCGGCTGTTGACATTGGTATATGGGTCGGTGAGTTGGAGCAGAACGCACGTACCGCATAGTGGTTGGGCACAACGGGCACGGGCTCGGGACCGGGCGATCCAGCCCGCACGGTCACCTCCACCATTGGACTGCCGCTGCTGGTAGCTAATGGATGACTAGGTGGGGGGCGTTCAGCTTCGATGCGGAGGACGTCTGAGGCCATTTGAAACTCATCATCATCGTTTCGAAGCGGCGCCGTAATGCTGATGGTGGTGTCCAACTGCTGCACCTGCTGCGTCAGTGCCGCGATCGCAGCCGCCAACTGCCCCACCTCGCTCAGGACTGGGGCACCACCGCGAGCGGGTGAGCTTCGCAGCCAGGCCAGCAACCCAGCTGTCGCCGCGCCCGTGGCACAGCCGGCCGCAAAAATGTGCCAGGGGCCCATGTTGTCTAAGAGAGTCAGCGTCACCATTGTGCTGCTCCCCTGTCAAGGAATCAGTGCCGTCAGGCCAGAGGAGCATGGGCGCGAGATCATGAGCGAGATCATGAGCGAGATCACGTGCGCCAATGAAAGATCTCGCATGATGAGATGCGGGCATCGCGACACCCAAGGCGGTGAAACATGGCGAGCAACCTCAGCCTTGGCGTGGTTGCGTGTCCAAACGGGGTGTGTAAGGGGAGAGTGAGGGGGAGGGAGGGGGGGAGGGGGAGGACCCGCCCGGCGCTGCCATCACACACTGACCTCGCGACGGTTTCTCCTCCAACAGCAACACGAGAGGATGAAAGAGAGGCGTGATGAGGGAAGGATGATCAGCAGAGATGAAGCGATCTCGAGGTACGGGGATAACGTTAACAGAGTGCAGAAACCAGAGGATTGAGGTATCGACAAGGTTCAGTAAGAGACACCAAAGGTAAGCCATAGAACCAAAATTTGTCAGATCAAGGGTGTATGTATAAAAGTATTTTACTTTATGAATATTCAGTGCTTTCGAGCATGACGGCGACGTCGGCCTCGACGGACCAGCGGCAGCGGCGGCCGGGACTCTGGTGGGAATGGCTGGGACTGGGGCAGAGTCTGGGGCCAACGGGGGTGGTGGGTGGGCTGTTGGTGTGGCGGGTGGTGTTGTTGGCCCTGCAACTAGGGCTGCCCGGTCTGCTGGAGAGCTATGATCGCTCTCAGCGTCTCTGGAAGGATGGACTCTTGCCTGGGTCAGTCTTGTGGATGTGTGCATGATCTTCGAGCCGGCTGGGCTCCTTGATGCCCTGCGTACCAATGAGTTTGCACCACTAACTTCTTTGGCGTGTTGGGATGCTAGCCTGGGCAACTGGGATGCCGTCTACTTTCAAGCCATTGATCGTCATGGTTATCAACACGACCAGGTTCTCCCCAACACGCACGCACGCCCACCCTGTTCGTGTCGCCCCGCCACCCAATTCACCGCAAGCCGTCGCGTGTCGTCTGGATATAGAACCATGCGTTTTATCCTGCCATGGCCTGGCTACTGCGTGCCAGTCGCTTTACAGGCATCAACGCCAGCGTCGTCATCGTAGTCGTCTCCGCGGCTGCCCAAATTTTGACCTGGTATCAGCTCCAGTCCCTGCACACACAGGTAGATCGCAAAGGCCTTTTTTTTCTGTGAGCAGTACGACGCATGCCCTCGCTCCATGCCCTCAAGCAGCCATTTACTGCTCTTCATCTAGCTGGGACTCGACTCGAGGTGGCACCACTGGACGACTGTGGCTTGGCTCCTGAATCCCGCGGCCGTGTTTTTCCAGGCCGCCTACACGGAGGCTCTCTACACCTGCCTGGTGGTTGCCGTCATCTCCTCCTGGCTTCAGTAAGCGTCTTGACTTTGAACCGTTTCCACCATGTTTCGTGCGGTCGAACGGTGTGCATGTTTTTACCCACCCCACCAATAGGCTGCGCGTGTGGCGCGCTGCCATCCTGGTGGCCCTGGCGTGCACGTTGCGTGCCAATGCAGTCCTGCTAGCCGGTACGTAGCACGCCTGGCTTGCAAGTGCACCGCGCACACAAGCCCGCCTTCACACAGTAAATCTGATGCAAACTCTTAGGTCTGTTTGCATTTGATGTCTTGGCCAGCTGGGCCGAGCCCGGAGCCTTGCAACGAACGCTTCAGGCTCTCCTAGCCCTACTCGTTGTACTTTTGGCATGGGCCGGTTATCACGCCTATTGTTTCTATCTCTACTGCATGACCGACAAATCAGCCGGTGGGAACCAGAGGCCAACTAACGTTGCGTCAAAGGCTTGAGCAGAACCGTAGACTCACATCCCGCTGCTCTCATGACCTCGGACTCATAGAAGCCACGCCGGAGTGGTGCGAGCGCGTCCCACCTTTACTTTATAGCTACATACAAGCCAAATATTGGCGGGTTGGCTTTCTGACCTTTTTCACGCCAGCACAGGTTGGCACTGTTCACGTTGCACCCCCCCATCCCTAACCTCCATACAGCATGTGTGATGCGTCATCTGTACTAAAGAGGCCGCCTCGCTGTCTCTAGACACCCAACATTCTCTTGGCCGGCCCCATGATTCTTGCGAGCTGCGTTGCACTGCGACTCGTAGCGAGTTCATTCCCAGCTGCATGGCGCGCGCTGGCGCTACCCAACCTGATGATGCATTTGCCGGCTTGGGTTGGCCGCACTGTGGCAGCCATTCAGGCATGGATGAGCAACGGGCTGCGCGCCCTGGACGTCGACGTTCGCTTGTCGAGCAAAGCTCGTCCATCTGTGCGTCCAGCGGCTGAATTGTGGACCGTGCTGGCCGTTTACCATTTTGTCCTGCTGGTGGTGGCAGTTGGCTTTATGAATGTCCAGGTCGCAACGCGGTTTCTGCTGAGCAGCAACCCCGTGCTTCTGTTGACGGGCCTGGCAGCCGTGCTGCAGCACCCGAGTTGGCAAGCGACGGCTGTCAGTATCTGTCTGACATATCAGCTCGTAGGCACCGTGCTCTTCAGTCTGTTCTACCCCTGGACCTGAGGCGAGCAGGACAGAGGGACAAGAGACTCCAGATTGATCAAGTATCTTCGATTTTCTTTGCTTTTGGTTTACGTATCTTCAATTTTCTTTGCTTTTGGTTTACCGTCTGCTGTGGCTTTTGCACCTCTGCTCCAAATCTATACCGTCTTGGCGACTTTGCGCAGCTCCTAAATCGCACACACACACACACACACACACAAGGTTCAGCCGGGGCCATTAGTGGGGGCGCGATGGAACGAGGGCAAGAAACAGAAAAATTTTCTCAGTTGAGCAATAGCACACCTTGAGTCCAGACTGTTGGCACGTCATTTCACACCAGCTCGTGGGGATGAGCGGTGCACCTGCAACAGCGTGCGAAATCAGTCAGACATGCTTGCACTGTGGCAAAAAGAAAATATCAATCATGCACCGCCTATTCAAGCAACGCACCGGCTTCACTGCGGGCAGCAATCACGCCCAAAGCATCTTCTGCCGTTGAAAGATAATAACTACGCGCATCACCCAGGGAAATCTGTTGTACCCCGCAACATCAGGCATCCAGTCAGGCATATCAAAGATTTGACAAAACCCGGAGAAAAAAGGGCCAGCATCACGAACCACGCGCGCCAACACCACGTCGTTGGGTCGGAAAGAGCTATGCATTTCAACCTTGTCCTTCTCGAGCGCCCGAATGTCTTGTATCCTAAGCGAAACAAAGCAAAATGAGCCGTGGTCGCAAACGCCATCGGCCGGATTGGAGAGTGTGCCTCAAATGGAAGCCACGAGCAACGTGGGGGTTTTTTTTTTTCAAAGAAGATATTTCACAGACCTGATGATGCCGCTGAAGCGTGTGGCGACAGGCTTGCCGTCAACGCAGAGGATTACAACGCGGGCCTGTTGCGTATTAATGCTGGTAACCTTCAAGATGGGGAAAAAGCAGATCATCATGAGCCTCAGCCAACATGCTCCTCGCTCAGGCACCGCCTTGACCAAACATGGTCAGAAGATGCTAGACCAAAGCGGCATCTGCGCAAAGAAAATGGCTGGCTGAAATCCGCATTGCCAGCCCTAGGTGCGTGCTGGAGATGGAGCTTGGGGTCCGCCTGTACCTTGCAGGTGACGGTCGAGCCGACGGACGGCATGAGCGAGGGGACAGCGCCGCCACGCACGACCCGCAGCACGGCCTTGACCTTGGCGGCATCCTCGTCCTCGCTGGGCTCGGGCGTATGAATAACCACTGTTCCACGCAGGCTGGCACAGACGCGGTCGTGACGAACATAGGTCCCTATTGATCGCAGCAAAAAAAGAACCGTTCCGGACGATTGAGCTCATCTCCTCACACGCGACCTCGAGGGCGCATTAAGCCAACGCAAATGGAAACAGCAAATGGAACCAACAAATGAATGAATACAAAGGCACAAACCTTCGCCTGCCGCGTAGTCATCAGCCTTGGCCAACCGGGTCCCCGGCAGCACCACCTGGTCCACCCCACCACACAAAAGTTCAGCCGCCGCCATTTCCTCTTCTGCGCCAAAAAAAAAAAAAAAAATTAGAGAGAGAGAGAGAGATTAAGAGAGAGAGACATGTGTGTGAAAGGGAGAGAGCAAGATGTGCAGAGAGAGAATACGATTCACAACCAGGTTGAGAGAAAGAGTCACGCTCAATTTTTTTCACACGTTAAATTCAACCAAAATCAGGGAGTGCGCTGGTTTATGAACAGTTTTCAGAGATAGAACAGAGGATTGAGCGTGCAGAAGGAGAGTGTCAATGAGAGCAGAACGAGCAGCGAGGAGACGATCCATTGCGTCGCGTCGGGCGAGACGAACGGCTCACTAGCAGGGGCTGGAGCCCTCGCAACACGTGCCATAGATGGTAGACATATGCTCATACAAGCGTGCGAGATTCATTGACTTTTTTCTGTATCGATAGACCGACGGCATGAGCGCGAGAGCTGGTGCACTACCTCCGATGGCTTGTATGTGCGCTCGGCTCGGGTTGAGGTCATCGTGCTGTCCCGCTCAAGAGCTGCTTGCCTCATCCCACTTTGCCGCCCCGCGTTGGCTGTCATGGCACAGTTGGCACCTTCAAGCTGCGGGGGGACGCTGCGTACAACGCCGTACTCGACGCTCTGCGGGCTGGCTATCGTCACATCGGTGCGACCGAGACAGAGCAACCTCCCAGCCGGCAGTGCACTGCCACCATCTGTTACACAGCTCACCCTTGCACCTTTCCTCTTGGCCACTAGATACGGCGACCGTGTACCGGAATGAGGCTGAAGTGGGACGAGCACTGCAGACGGCCGTGGACTCGGGCATTGTGGCTGACCGGAAGGCCGTATTTATCACCAGCAAGCTTTCACCGCGAGAACATGGTCGGGAAGCAGCGGCAGCAGCGGTGCATCGCTCGCTTGAGGCCTTGGGTCTCGACTACATTGATCTCTACTTGGTACACTGGCCCGGCAAAGCGGTGCGCGCCCGTTTGATTCTGTTTCCACCACCAACAATGGCTCTTCTTGCTTTGCCGCTAACATCTAACCACATCCCATTGTACCATGTTGCGTGCCCTCAGAAACTCGCACCCGACGACCCCCAGCACGCAGTTGTGCGCTTGGAAACCTGGCGGTCAGCGTCCCTAGTTGCCGCATTGTGTTCAGTGTGCGACTGAGGTCCCACCCTCATGTGCTGCCCGCCTGTAGAGCGCTGGAGGAAGAGGTCAAAGCTGGACGCGTGCATGCCATCGGTGTCAGCAACTATGAGCAAACACACTTGCGTGAGCTGCTGGCAGCCGCAGAAATACCCCCTCTGGTCAACCAGTTTGAAATTCACCCCCGCCTGCCTCAGTCCGAAGTACGGAGTCGGCCATCTAGATTCGGTCCCACCCTGCCCTTTCTTTTTTTTTTTTTTTTTTTTTTTTTTTTTTTTAATTTTCGATTCCCCCGTTCAAAGTTTGCTACGTTGCCTCTCACAACGTAATCGTTCCGCCTGCCTTGGTTGAAATGTAGCTGCGAGAATTTTGCCAATCGGTCAACGTGCAGCCCCAGGTGCGCGCATGCAGTCGCCGACAATCTCTTGACTTTAGGGCCCGGCCTGTTCTTAGCAGTGTGCCTTTGCTGCCAACATCAGGCGTACTCCCCCTTGGGTAGTGGGGAATTGTTGGCACATCCCATTGTATGCAACATTGCACAGAGACTCAAGACACAGGTTGGTATGGCCGATCAGCTGAGAAGAGCTCGATTGCATGCACGCTCGGCGTGCGTCGGCGATTTTGCATCGACTGGCGATGAGTAGGCTCTGACCGGCGTTTCTAACTCTGGTGGCTGCGTTGGGCTTTTATTGTGACAATAGCCCGCTGCGGTGTTACTTGCTTGGTGCCGCGCACAAGGACTGCCCTTTGCCGTCAAGGCTGTAAGATCCACCGTTTGCCGGCTATACCGGCCGCCCACATCCGTTGACGCTGCTTGTTGTCCTTGCCATAGAGCACGCGCCAACGAATCGAGGACAACTTGAAGCTGGATATCACCCTTGATGAGGCTTCTCTAGACGAGCTGGCAGGCTTGGCCGACGGCCAGCGCTTTTGCTGGGATCCAAGCAAGGTGGCATAGTGATGAGGCAAACGCATAGAGAGTGTCACCTCGAGCAATTACAAAAAAGCATCAATGTCAAAGTCGTCATCTTCATCCTCGACGTTGTCAGTTTGCAGGAGACGCTGCATCACGGACAAATCGTTGCCAGCAATGGTCCTGCTCACGGTTGCAAAAGGGGGGCGGAATGCAGTGATTTGAGGTCGAAAATCTGTCGTGTCCATTCAGCGGGTAAAACGGCTACATACTGGCCAGGGTCGGCATCCGGTTCAGGGGCGTCCGTAGACAGCTCAGCGCCGTTTTGAGGATCATCAGTAGGGCGGCGCTGTGTTGGGTCGAGGGCCTGTTGAAACGTATCAAAAGTCAGCTCTTCTGACCCTTGCAACAAATAGGCATCTGCGTCCGTGTCAAGCGGCTCGGTGGCGGCGGATGTTTCTTGTGCAGGCGTGTTGGAGTCTGGACCCGAGTCTTGGTCAATGGTGTCAAACTGGTGAAGCGCACGGCGCCAATTTCTGACCCACGAATCAAAGGCACGCTTGCTACATTTGGCCTCGGGTGGCGGCGTTGTAGGGTGCTCTGAGGTCCGATTCTCCCTATCAATGCGGTGAAGCACGTCAATGTTCAGTCTGCAAGGCGAACAGCCCTTGATGCCCCCCTGGTACTCAGGGATGCGGCGAGGCTGAACGTCAGCCGAACCAACCCAAGGGACAAACCGGGGAATGGTGCGAAGGTAGTTTTGGTAGCCAATCGTGTTCTTGCCCATCATGATGGCCTTGCGACGCTGGCTCAAACGATGTTGATCATCCTCCTTCTCCCTTTGACGCACAGCACAGCAACAGACGCCATAAACAAAGACAGGGGTGGGTAGCCATGAGGAAATGGTTGCTTTGAGGCAGCCAGAGCATGGCCAGGTAGGTGCTCACTTGGTATCAAAGAAATGTCGACCCATGCGAGCCGAGCTGCGACTTTGAGAGCCCTGAGCATCACGGTGGGACGAACGCCGATCCTCGTCACGAGCGTCCGCCTCACCCCCACGCGAGCTCTGCGGATGGTCAGCGCGGCGATGGCGCTGTCTCCCATCCCTCGGTCGCTGATTCCAATCGCCGCTTCCGTTGCGGTCCTGGGACGACGTTGAATGCGAATCGCTGAACCTGTCGTCACGCCGTGAACGCCTGGACTCGTGGTCGTTTTGGGTGTCTCGTCGCTCATAGTCACGCCGTGGGTCTCTGCCGTCGTAGTCACGCCTTGGGTCTCTGGCTGTAAAGTCACGACGCCTGTCTTTGCTTTCATAGTCACGCCGCGAGCCACGGCTCTCATGGTCACGCCACGAGCCACTGCTGTCATGGTCTAGCCGTGGGTCTCTGCCCTCATAGTCTAGCCGCGGGTCTCTGCCCTCATAGTCACGCCGCGAGCCAGTGCCCTCATGGTCACGTCGTGAGCCAGTGAACTCGTGGTCACCGCCGCGATCCATCGTGAGAGACAACAGAAAAAGTCTGACAAACAGAGGGAGAGAGCTGAGAAAGAAAATCTGCAGAGAGTGTGAAGATTCATCGTAAGGTATGCATGTACTTACACATTAAAAAGCAGAGATTGATCTTAAGCTGTGCGCCATATCAGAGAGATGAAAACACACACACACACACACACACACACACACACACACACACACACACACACACACACACACACACACACACACACACACACACACACACACACACACGGATGTACATGTATTTTCCAACGGAGCAAACGGCAGCGCGGCCGCGGGAGTTTCTTTTAGGGATCTTTTGGCGGCTGACTGGCGAGCGGCAGTGGGAAATGCAGGGACGACTCTTGAGCTGGGTTGTCCCAGGCGATACTGGAAGCGGCTGTTAGGTCACTAGATAAATTAGATCTTTGGGATTTCGGGACACGGGCTGTTTCTTGAGACGCATGAGACTGGAGGAAGAGCACGTCACGCAGTGAACCGCCATGATGGTCCAGGCATGGATCGTGGTGGCCCTGGGCATGCTGGCCACGTGCTGCTGTGGTGAGATGGTAATGCATGGCTTTGCGCCATTCACCTCGAGTGAGCTTGAAATGATTCATGCCCAACTGGCCGATGTCACGCCGTCGGCGTTGCTGAGATCGCCACAAGCCTTGGGCCGCACCGACCGCCTGGGATTCTTGCGGATTCCCAAGAGCGGCTCTACCAGCGTAGATAGCACCATCCGTGTTCAAATGGGCTATTGTGCCAACGCCTGTGAGCCCATGGTGGATGCCTGCAGCAGCTGTCTCTACTCGACCAACTGCACGCCCTGCAAGCTGTCGCCTCGCCTTCAGGCCTGCTACGACTGCCCACACATCCAACTCGATCAAATCGATGGTGGCTTTAAGCAGATCAACCACGCATACAGGTACTGACACGTCTCGTCCACAGAAACACTCGCGCTCGCGCGTTGCAGCTCATTCTTCTTCGATTTGCTTTTTTTTTTTTTTTCTTCTTCTTTTCTCGTTCAGACAAAGCGGGTTTGAGGGTGGCCACTTGTACCTCCTGACCGTGGTGCGCGATCCCGAGACTCGACTCCTTTCACACTTTTTCTTCATCCGATCAGCGTGTCGCTATCGGCACCTGGCCTCACCAGACCAGCTGCCACCGGGCGACAAGAGCATCCCCCTGCTCTGGCTGGTTACCCTCCCAGTGGCCATGCAAGACGCCATCTGCGATGCCGACTTTGAGTACTTTTTGCGCCACCACCTCATTGTGCACGAGACCTATACGGTACGTATCCTGCGACCTTTGCGCCTTTATCTCGTCCTCCTGTCGCCAATGACAGGGTCTGCTTAGCCTGGGCTCATTTGCTTTGATGACGGGATGTGGCACCACATGGGCAGCGTTTCTTGCTGAGTCGCAACTCCCTCGGCCCAATATCCGCCTCGGAGTGCGTCGAGGCCATCCGGGTCTTGGCGGATCGATTCCATTTGTTTGCTACAACCCAGCACCTTCCGGCGCTGCGATTGATGATGCATTATCTGTTTGGTCGACGCTACGAGGGATGGTCACTGCCCTTCCCCGAGTCAAACAATGCCGACTACTCGCACGCGCGCAGCACTCGCCCGGACGAGGCGCGCGGCGTACTGGAGCACAACACCACACTGCAAACGCTTTCGCGCTTGCGTAACCGGTGTGATGCTCTGATTTTTGACTACGCGCTGCGCTGGAGCACGCCCTACTATACAGAAATGGTCCCGGAAGCCGAAGCCTTTTTGGAACTCAGCCTGACGGAACTTCGCAAACTGCACGAGCAAAACACGTAGGCCAACGCCCGTGCCTGTGCCCATGAAGCACGGGCCTGATTCGATGCCTCTGCCACTGCGGCATTGTTATTGTTTTTATCACCTTCATGCATGACCATGAACCAGATTTAAGTTTCCATTATTCCAGAGCCAGCAATAGAACACTCCAATGGCCTGATTCCAAGAGGAAACAGCCATGTCGTGTGCATATTCCGCGAAACCCTAACACGCCGTTGTGACTGCAAAGTCGGCAGATAGATGAAGGGGGGGGGGTCAAGTTGCTAATTGAGAGATGCATTTTGTAGTTGATGTTGGAGTTGTTTTAAATCTCCGTCGTGATTTGTGCTCGTAAGCCGATCGAGTACCCCGCTGGGCTCGTATGCGTCTGGCTCCTCGTCGCCCATGGAGGAGGCGTCATCATCAGAAGCGTCGCCCTCGGCATCTTGGCCATTGTCATCGCCACCGTCATCGTCGTCGTCGTCATCGTCTTCGTCATCGTCATCATCCTCATCATCGTCATCCTCATCCTCATCATCGTCCTCTTCTTCATCTGCGCATCATGCAAGCATTAGATTGGCAATCAAGGGTCTGCAGCAGGTGGCATATGATGAGAGGAATGATGTTCGTTCCTACCAGCAGCCAGCACCGAGGCCAAAACACTGCGAAACTCGAGCACTGTGCTGTTACTGGGGTCGACTTGGAGAACTAGAGCGCCGACAAGGCAAGTCGGGAATGAGCAGATCTGAGACCTTGTGTCGGTCACAAGATTTACATCAGTACCATACACGTGGCATGGCACTCTTACTCTGCTGGCAAAGGTCATTGGCACGCTCGTATTGCTTGCACATGACGGCCGCCAGAAACTGTTTGCGACCGTTGGATTCGGTCAGGATAGGCCGGTCGCTAGAGACGCGGTCGCTAGGGAGACGCGCCAGGGAGTCGGGCATTGGCGTACCTCGCCGACCAGCTCCATGGGCGCCGTCGTCAGTTCGCTGACATCCTCATCAACTTCCTCGGGCACGTCATCTTCGTCTTCCACGCGCTTGGCAAGTGGACGTGACTGGGCAGAAGCCGGTGCAGGCCGCTGGCCCGCTGACAGAGAGGCGCTTGGTGAGGAAAATTTGGTGCTGCTGTGACGCCAGCCTCCCTCGAGTAGCGGACTGAGCTGCCCAACCGCACACCCCAAGATGACTTACATGTAAATGATCTCAGACCCCCGCGTCCAGAGGCAGTGGCCCCTGAAGTGGGCCGTGAAGACGATCGCGCTGCCATTTGTGTGTGTGTGTGTGTGTGTGTGTGTGTGTGTGTGTGTGTGTGTGTGTGTGTGCGTGTGTGTGTGTGTGTGTGTACGAAAATATTTGGGGATGGATTTATGAACGTTCACTGCTTTCGCGATATTGAAGTTTACACCCAAATCGCGAAAGCAGTGACGATCATCGTTTATTCCGCGCACGAAGACAGTGAGCGGTTGTAGTATGTGGGTGGTGTCATCATCACACAGAGTGGCTTGTTGTCAGCTTTCATAATTGTCACTTGTTGGCTATATGGCAGCTGCCGTAAATCAATCTAGATCCCTTTCAGAGGTGTGATCGCAACGAAGCGTACAACGGGGAGAAAACAGAGGGACCGATAGTGCAATCTCAGAGAGAGGTGTACGTGCCAGATCTCAAAAGCTACTTTGTCCATGCCAGGGTCACGACTTTGTCCACCTTTTCTAACACCTTCACACCTCACCCGTGGCATCATCACACTTGACTATCAAAACCAATGGCAATTTGCATGTTGTAGCCCACACATTGATGTTCATACACCCACACCTGGACATGTCCCCGACGCGCCAGCCAGTCAGACAACATTTTTTTTCCTCTGCGCAGCCGCTTCGACTGGATGGATGCTCTGGGCACCTTGTCCAACGGCAGCGCTTCCCCTTTTCCCTCCAGCGCCTCGAAGGTGCGCACTCTCCTGGTACCTTGTTTTTTTTTTTTGTTCATCCCCTCTCTCTGCTCAAACTCTTTCTCTCGCTCAAACCCTCTCTTAAACTCTCTCTCATACTCTCTCTCTTTCTCTCCCTCTTAAGCTCCCTCTCTCTCAAGCTCCCTCTCTAAGCTCCCTCTCTCTGTAGCTTCCTCTCTCTGAAGCTTCCTCTCTCTGAAGCTTCCTCTCTCTGATATCAACTCTCTAAAGCTTCCTCTCTCTTTAAGCTTTCTCTCTCTGTCTCTCTCTCACTTGTTGTGTGTGTATGTGTGTGTGTGAAATCATTTCACGAGTGTGTGTGTGTGTGTGTGTGTGAATTTGGCGGCATCTTGAAAAGGCGCCGATACGACCCTCATCCTCACACCCCCGCACCTCACTCCCCCGCACTCACACTCTCGCACTCACAGCCCCGCTCCTCACACCTCCGCACTCTCGCACCCTCACACGCCCTCGCACTCGCACCCTTACACATACCTGCACACACAAGCGTACACTCATCTGGACTTGGAATCGCTGCACTCATACACACACACACACACACACACACACACACACACACACACGCGCGCGTCGCGGCTGGATTGAGGCCGGGTGTTGGTGTGTGTGCGCACACTCTGCATTTTTTTGGCGGTCTGCCCGACGCTCGCTCGGCTTTGCGTGTGTGGTGGCCCTTGACTCGGCTTGGCCTGCGTTCCGCCACTCGTCCGACCGGACCGGACCACACCATGCCCAAGGAGACGTTGAACGAACGCCGTGCTCGGCATCGGCGCAACGAAGAACGACGGCGGAAGCGCATTCACAGCTCGCTCGATGGCCTGAGGCAAATTCTACACCTTGACCCTCAAGCCGAACAGGCTGCCGTGATGGAAGCTGCCCTTCGCACGCTACGAGCCATCCTTCCCCCTCAGGGCGTGGAAGGTGCTCTTGCTTCAGTTGCTGCCGGCCATATTGCCGCCCTCTCAGCAGCCAACTCGCAGAGCAGGCCGGTGCCCACCACCCACGCCGTCCCCCAGCCAGCCAACACAATGGCCAACACCCTCCAAACCCTTCCGCTGAGCAGCTCCAACGGTTCCTCCACCAGCAGTGCCATCCCCGTTCACCGCAATCGCACCCCGCCCAAGACGGGTCCAGGCGCAGAGTGGCCAGCTCCCGATGAAATTGACCCCGCCTTTGTTGCCGGCACCCTCCTCTCTGTCAACGCCATCGCCAATCGTCCCAATTCCACTGCTAGCCAGCCGACCACAGGGGCCCTTCACGCCCACCAACACGGCGTTAACGGCCCCAGAACCCCCGGCGCCCGCAGCGACGACACCAGCGACCTCAGCTTTGAGCATGCGCACCACCACCAACAACATCAACAACCGCCGTCACAGCAGGCTCACCCAGCACTGAGTCAAGCAGCACGCCAAGAACAAACCTCCTCGATCCACACCCATCCCCACGTCACGGTCCTGCCCGGCCTTACATTGGATAGCCCCCGACTGCCCACCAACGTGGGCATCTTCATCTCGGACGGCTTCAAACACGTCCTTGACTGTAATACCCGCATCCTCAAGCTCCTCAACTGCTCGCGCCTGGCCGATATTCTCAACAAGTCTTTTCTCGACTTTAATGTCATGGTCGATCACGAAATCCACGCCGCCATCTTCCCCCTCATGCAACGTGGCCAGCGCAACTGCGCTTCTGCCGTCGTCCGCATCCGTGATCTGGGTCAAAATCAAACCATCTGGGTCCGAAACGTCATCATTCGCCTGGGCAGCATGGGCAGTCAGGCCCAGCCTGGCGTCCCCATGTTTCTCGGCATTATGCAGCCCCATGAGGAACCCCTCGACGGAAAGCCCCACCTCCTGGAGAACATTGAAATCTCCTCCGAACTAGAGTGTTTCAACCAAGCCGTCGATCAACACAACCTTGACCTCTGATGCTGACCCAACTTCCCAGGCTTGAGCTCCACCGCCACAGCCATCATCATGCCTCGCAGCCATTGGCTTTCCCACCCGTTTGGCTTCATATCTGCCCGTGTGTTTATCTGTGTGTCCGTCTGTCTGCCTGCCCGTCTTGTCAAACTGTTTGGTTCTTTTTCTTTTTTCTTTTTTTCTTGGTAATGCCTTGCGTTTTAGGGTCCCCAGCGAGCTGGGTACGTGACAGGCCCAAACGCAAGATGAGTTCCTCCCATGTATCCGTATCCTCCCGACATTCCACACCTTCGAAGAAATAAGTACCCTCGGGAAGAACACCGTTGCCGTGCTTCGGCCACTTCCCTCCACTGCACCCCTTGTGTTTTCACTTCAGGCTCTGTTCTCTTAGCTTTGCTTCTGATGGCCTCGAATTGCAACCGCTTGCTCTCAATCATACCCGACACACCAAAGGAAGGGACACGCTCTCGAAAGAAGAGATCTGTACATGGTTTGATCACTCCCACGGGTGCAAGGCTCCGACCAGTGGCTCCTCGTCGCTTGCGCTCGCCGAGTACCGCCGTAATTCGTACCCGACACGCCAAAGGAAGGGACACGCTCTCGAAAGAAGAAGATGTGCGTATCATCAAACGGTGTACGAGGGAACAGCTGCCGTACGTCTAGAGTTGCAATCGATTATGATGACGAATACCGCACACTCGGTGTGCGCTCTCGCCGTGGGAAACCCTGGCTTGAGGAGAATGGCCGTCTTGGAGAACCAGCAAAAAAAAAAGGACAAAGCCGATCGATGATGCCCTGATGCCTTGATGCCCTGATGCCGGGCAGCCGATCGGTGGCCAAGACGGGCTGTCATTTGTTTTTGGGGTTGTTCAAGAGGCCTTCCGCCTCGACGTCAAAGTGGTTGGCATCCAGCATCTCGGAAACGCGCTGCTCAATGGCCGCCACCACATCCTGCTTGACAAAGTAGCCCATGGCACCGAGGTCCTGCAGAATAAAATGCTGTCCATTGATGGCCAGCTCTTCGTCAAGATACTTGATGTACATCTTGATCGAACCGTCACTATCCGCCGCCGAGCCAGAGAGCCAGTGCAGTTCAATTCAAGAGGGTGAGACTCGAAAGGCTCCGGCTGCATACTCCATCACCCAAACAATACAACAAGCAGAACCAGCCAAGCTTACCAACGCAGGACGGTGCCGCGCAGCATCTCTGTCTCGTTCATGTCGCCCGTGCCTGCACTGCCATACGCTCCCACCGCCGCACGCACGGCCAGTGTCGTGAACCGGAAAGTCGCCTGAGAGAGAGAGAGGGAGAGCGAAAGAGAGAGGGAGCGAGTGTTCGTAATCCCAAGAGACAGAGTTAAATAGAGAGTTGCAGAGCAGAGAGGGATACGAAAGCAGGTGTTGTTTGCATCGTAAACACGTTTACTTTAACACTATTTTCAGAGAAGGAGCAGATAATGGAGGCATTTTTCAGAGAAGCACGCCTTTCTTGACGAATGCACAGAGACAAGGAGAAAGTCAGGCAGAGAAGATAAAGTGTGATAATTGTCAGTCTATCGCATCGACCGTTTTTTTTTTTGTTTTTTTTTTCTGCGCAGAAGGTGATCCAGTGAAGTGGCAGTCTTGGTCTTTGAGGTGGTGCTGAAGGAGCTGGGGGCTGATCAGGTACTTTGGTGAGTGGGGCGGCTTGGGCCTGATCAAGAGGCTTGGGTGGGGAGGATAGAGGTGGATGGGGGGAAGGTGCTGGTTATGTGGCGCGCTTGGACAGAGTGCCTCACAGCTGGCGCACGAGCTGTAGTCGACGCCTCGCGCTCGGAATTCAGCTCCCGCGCCATGGATGCGCCATGTCCTGAGGACGAGGGCAACACAGAGGCGGTGCCCACTCGTCTAGAACGTGCCCAGTCGAGCGAAATGTTGCAACAAAATAGTGACACCAGCCAAGCACCGACAAAACCCCACGCCGCGCATGCCGGCCCTCTGGCCGCCCCTGCCGAGAATGCCGACATCGATCCGCAAGCCCCAGCAGGGGCGGTAGATCAATGTGACCACGACCGCGACCACGACGACCACAATGACAATGATGGCCACGACGATGACCATGACGACAATGATCCTGAATACGAGGTGCTTCTCGATGGCCACCCTATTGTCCTGAACGTCCAACAACCCCTAGCGGAGCTCTCGCCCTCGGCAGCGCGCGATGCCTTGAGACGCACAAAACGGGCCACCCCTTCGCCGAGCGGTCGGGGTGGTCGAGGGAGACGTGGTGGGCGACGACGCAGGCTCTCCAAGGCATCCAGCTCTCGTCGAGGCCGCCTTCACGAAGAGCCGGAGGAAGAAAAAGCACCCCCACCTCCAACCGAGGCCGAGACCATCACTCCCGTCCCGCACAAACCCATGCCGCTGCCACCCGACGATGAACCGTACATCAAATTCCGACCTTTGGGTCATGACGATTATGACCGGCTCATTGAATACGACCTGGTAAGCTCGTGTCGCAGCACCGTTGCCAGAGTGCTCTGATCCGCCTCGAATTGAATCCTTGCTTGCTGTGGTTCGCATGGCCCTCCTTAGGATGAGCAAGATCGACAATGGCTTGCCTTGCTCAACGATGGCACCCTGAGCAACACGCCCAAACCCAAGCGAGCCCGCCGCCTTGACCAAGTGCGTGCCTTTTCACACCTCATACCAACGTTTGGGGCCTTGGCTCCTGCCTGCCGTAGTCATTGCCCGCCTCGCCTCTCCGTGACTAGGCGACCATGGAGCTACTGCTCGATCGCTTTGAGAAGCACGTGCTGTATCACGATACTGAAGCCTCAGATGGAGCTCCTGGCGTGATGAGCGGAACCTCGACGCGTCCCCGTAGTGAAGCGCTGCAAGACGACAATCCCGATGAGGGCCTTTGCGCCGTGTGCATGCAGGACGAGGTCACCAACAGCAACAGCATTGTTTTCTGTGACATTTGCAACGTCGGCGTCCACCAGGTCAATGACTCGGCTTCCGGACTCTTGTCACGGTGAAGAACCAAGCTTCTCGTCCTTGATCAAGGATCATCAGCCTTTGCTCATTGTACTTACTTGCTCGTTTAGGAATGCTACGGCATTTTACACATTCCTGCCGGAGTCTGGCTGTGCCTCAAATGTCGTGATTCTCCCGGTGTAGAGGTGTCCTGTGCCCTCTGCAGCATGCGGGGCGGCGCTTTCATTCGGGTTGGTTGGCGTCTTGAGCAAACAGCGTCTCGCCCACAACTTGGTTCGTGAATCGTTTGGGCCATTCAGCCCAAGGAACTCAAACCAAATCCCCTTTTTCTCGGCCCATGGCTTGATCATTCCCGCAGGTGCAAGGCTCCGACCAGTGGGTACACGTCGCTTGCGCTCGCTGGGTACCCGAGACGCAATTTGGAAACGATGTGGTACTAACCCACGTTGAAGACTTGGACAAAGTGCCAACAGATCGCTTTCGTTTCCGATGCTACATCTGTGGCCAGCGCAACGGAGCTTGCATCCAGGTACATCATTGCCAAAGAGTTCAGGCCGCTACCAATTACGCTGTGTCAGCCTTTGGTACTCCATTGGGTTTCCTTAGTACTGCTCACTTGCAAATTCCACCATGTAAACCGGAATCTCTGTGGCTGTGTCTCTGCCCGTGCCTATCTGTGTCTGTGCCCAAACGCCTATGCGTGTCCTTGTAGTGCTCTCGCCGAAATTGCTTTGAGGCCTTTCACGTAACCTGCGGGTGCCGCGCTCATCTAACCATGCGACTGGAGGCGGATCGCCAACTTGGTGAATCGGTACCGGCGTATTACTGCCACCGCCACACACCAGGGGTTCGTGCATCGCGCTCCAACCTGGCCACTCTTTGAGCTGACACGCTCTCACCCAGAGTTGTGGCCCGAATTGTACCACACCACCCTCTGAACATTTTCTCCAGGATGTTGAAGAGCCACCCATCGCCATCGAGGACATAGCCGAAGAATCTCTGGTATGTTATTCGAAAAGCATGTAAGCCACATAAACTTGACGGAGCGTTTGGCTTATCAACCCCTTTATATTTGCCTCTCGTCCAGTTGGAGTTTCACCATCAGCGGCATAATCAGAAGCCAACTTTCAAGTTGTACATCTCTGATCGTACGTGGTTTGCGCCCTGTTGGCACGTCTCTTTGCCACGCACACACCAATGTGCCGAGCTGATGCTGTCCGTTGAGGACGCCCTTTTGCTTCACAGAGTCGGAGAAGGAAATCATTACCGAAGCTCATCTTGAGCGGGATCACGACTGCTACGATGTGGCCAAGCGCTACTGGATGATGAAGCGTCACATGCGCCAAGGCGCACCCCTCCTTCGCCGTTTGCAAGTGCGTTGTTGATCGATAAGAGTGGCTCCCTGTTTTCGTCGTTTAATGGCCAAGTCCACCCTCTAGTTCCTTCTTCTGCCTTGTTCCTCTTGCTAAGATCTTTGTCTGTGCCAGGCCAACGCCACCTTGGGGGTTGAGTCAACCAATATTCAAAATGCACGTGCGCTTCGAAAGGTACGGGTTTATCGCTAGGTCTTGCCACTCTTTGACGTGCGCAGCACATATCTCATGCCTGCGTCTTCTTCAGGATCTGGAGAAAGCGCGGCTTCTTGCTGAGCTCTTAGTACGGCGCGAGAAGCGTAAACGTGAGCTTGTGCAACTCGCGCGGGACATTTGGGAGATGCGGATAAGTCCCATGCAGGTGCGACCCAAAGTGCAGAGCACAACCCCGCTTGCTCCTTGTTTGTTTGCCTCGCTGCCAATTTTTTTTTTTTTTTTTGCTGACTCAAACGCCGCAACTCAACTGCAATGCATTCACTGCCAGGGCATTTTCAAAACTGCTTGGCGAAACATTTCGCGACGTGACATCGAAGGCCATTTCGCTAACCCAGTGGACTTGACACAGGTATGTAAGCGCTCGACCCTCCGATGCCATGGAATAGCAATCGTTCGTGCCCTGCTCACGAGCGTGAACAATAGCTTCCCGACTATGCTCGCATCATTTTTCATCCGATGGATCTTCACACCATGCAAGCCAAAGTCGAGGAAGGGGCTTATCAAAGCTTGCAGGAATTCGTGGACGATGTCTGGCTCATTGTTGAAAACTGCTTGACCTTCAACGAAGGGTGGGTTTTTTGCAAAGTTTAAACACCGTGCACCTTGTTGAAAACGCGTCTGGTTGAGAGAGAACGTCTCATGAACCTTTACGACAGGATCGCTTCTTGGACCTCTTATGCCGTTGACTTTTTATGCAAGAGCCAAACTCATTTGGAGCGTCTTGCCATGGAACTTTACGATGCGGGCATCGACCTGAAGGTAGGAACGAAAGCGTTGGTGGTGGGCCTTGGTATGCATTGGCAGAAGCTTGTGCTCGGTCATTTATTTTAACATCGTGCTCTTGCTTGATAGACGGGTGTCCTGACCAGGCGGTCTCTTTCCCTGCACCCGCCGAGTCCGTCAACCTCGTCGCCGCCGACACAAGTCACTGACTGCAAAGCAAGTCCCACTAGCTCTCAACAAGACGAACAAGCTGGGCCCACGATGTTGGTACCGCCGCCGAGTCCAACCCTGGATGTCGTGCAAGCGCTTGCACAAAATCCATGGTACACTGGTACGTACCCAACGTGCGTACCTTGGCGGGCATTTGGAACGCATCTTCTCAGCGGCTAAACGTTGTAGGTTTGGACATGATCTTTCGCGTCTCGCCAGACGACCCCTCAAAGGAACTGGCAATCGTACATCAAATTGCACATCTGCGTTCTCAAGCCTTAAGCCCTGGTATGGTATTGGGAGCATGGTGGCGGGCGCTACGTGCTGAGAGAGCTGGGAGCGGGAAGCCAAGCTTGCTGCTTTATCTAATCCTGTTGACGTTGTTGTTCTCTGGTTTGCCAGCTCAACGAGCCACAGGCATGAACAAGCTCGCTCGTGAGCTGTTTGACCTTCGCGAAGCACGTATCCGTCCACGCAAGGCTGCGGCATATGCTGCGCTTCGGCGGCGTTTATCAACCGCGGACATGCAAGAAGCCACAGCGCCGCCGCCGCAAGCCTGGGACTTTGTGTGGGCCCGCATGCGCGGCTACCCGTGGTACCCGGCGATGGTTAGTTCGGAAGATCGGCCACATCTCGAGGGGACGCCTTTCTCATGCCCCGTCAAATGCACGCGTAGCTGGTGAATTGGCAGACACCACGCGATGATCTCGCAGAGTGTGTGCCATCGGATGCCGTTTTGAAATCGCAACCCTCCCAAGATGAGAGCAGCCTTCTCGTGCGCTTTTTCGACAAGACGGGTTCCTGGTCAGTGCGGATGGCACCGCGTTTTACTTGAACACATTTTACATGATTCGCCAAGTCTGCATGGCCTCTCATGCTCCCACGTGAATCCTGGTCATCGTAGGGCATGGGTGACCTCAGAGCAGGTTATGCGCATGTTTGCCAGTGCATGGGTCGACGCTCAGATGCTTTCTCAGACCTCAAAGCATGCAAAAGATGTGTTTGTACGTTCCCTTTTTGAATATGACAAGCCACCTCCCGTGTGCACTAACACTGCGCCTGCTCGTTGCGGTGCAGACGAGTTTTCATACAGCCTTGAAGAAGCGACAAGAATTGCAAACACCCATCGCAAGCGCAGAGCCAACGACAGTCGCCAGTATAGCATTAGCATAATCGTTTCAGTGTGTGTGAGGGTGTGTGTGTGTGTGTGTGTGTGTGTGTGTGTGTGTGTGATCGGCAACAGTAGTGGAAACGTATTCACGTCACTGAAGAGAGAAAATGTCAAGAATTGACAATAACATGAAAGCCTTTTTGAGTGACTTCGCGTCTGCGTCCGCGTCTGTGGCTGTGGCTGTGTCTATGCGGTGATTGTCTCTCTCTCTCTCTCTCTCTCTCTCTCTCTCTCTCTCTCTCTCTCTCTCTCTCTCTCTCTCTCTCTCTCTCTCTCTCTCTCTCTCTCTCTCTCGATCTATCTCTCTCTTGATCTATCTCTCTCTCTCTCTCTCTCTCTCTCTCTCTCTCTCTCTCTCTCTCTCTCTCTCTCTCTCTCTCTCTCTCTCTCTCTCTCTCTCTCTCTCTCTCTCGATCTCTCCCTCTCGATCTCTCTCTCTCGATCTCGATCTCGATCTCTCTCGATCTCTCCCTCTCGATCTCTCTCTCTCGATCTCGATCTCGATCTCTCTCGATCTCTCTCTCTCTCGATCTCTCTCGATCTCTCTCTCTCTCGATCTCTCTCGATCTCTCTCTCTCTCGATCTCTCTCGATCTCTCTCGATGTTC